CAACCCTCCCGAACATGGCCACCATCCGACACGCAGAAACCATCAGCACACACCAGGAATCAGCATGTGCAAGAACTACCTCAGAGGTCGCCCCTGCCACCATGGACACAACTGCCTATATCGCCACCCACCTTGCACTCGGGCACAGGCCCATATCGCCGCAACGAATGATAATATACAAGCCATAAATGATGTGGAACAGGATTTTCGCTTCGGGCAGGACGAGATGTGATGCCACATTCGCCGTGCCCCTATGTCAGCCATCACACCTTCAACTTTCAAGGACTTGCTCACCATTCACTGCTCGTCCAGTCCACCTTCAACTTCAGGGACATCACCTTCTCTGATGTCGCAATGCTAGACTCTGGATGCCCCACCTGAATCGTGCCAATATCTCAGTTACCCAGAGAAGCCAAGAAACTCATGACCCGCTCCGACGTCGTAGTAAAAGGAATCAACGACAGCACCACCACTCTCGGCAGTCAAGACTCACCCACATTCAAAAAGGTTAACATGCTGGTAACTACCCAAACCACACCGATCCCGATCGGCCAAAATATCCTATGTCACAACACGCTCGATTCCTATCTAATCGACAACCAAAATGCGACTATAGAATTCAGACGCACACTTTCCTCAGGATACACAACACACACAGCTGCAATCATATCACCGTCATCGTCAACCAATGATCCAGCATATGGCGCCCAAGCTGACATCATCCAAAACCAGCCTACTATGGAACTACAGCCCAACATCCAGACAATGGTTCAAAAGCTAACCTGGCTAAAGCATAACATGGGGCTATCGCTACCAAACCACCCGAACCTAGACGAACTAGAGGCCACTGCAAACTTACTCATTTGCTATGCTGACATTATCGGCGCAGAAAGCCGCAGCAAAGGCACATTCATCCGACCCATCTGCATACCAACCAATGGCCAGTCTCGCAGCCAGAAATAACACCCAATAGCCCAGGCTTTGGAAGCAGACGTAGATACCGAAATTAAGCGTATGTCTGATGAAGGTATCATTGAAAACTGCAGCGACCCCAAAGGCTTCAATAGCCCTGTATTTGCCGTACACAAGAAAAACGGATCGATTTGTGTCATTGCTAACTTTAAAAGAACTCTCAACAAGGTCTTAGTCAATCTTGACCCTTACCCAATGACAAGGATCGACCACTTGTTCAACAAAATCGGCAAAGGCAATAGATATTTTACTACCCTCAATCTACGCAGCAGTTACTGGCAAATTGATATCGACAAGCAAGACCGATACAAAACAGCATTTATATGGAAGGACCAATGCTATCAATACACGCGCCTGGCCTTACATCTGCCGGACAAATCTCCTCCCGTTGCATAGCAGAAGCCCTAGCCACGGTCACATCTCGTGACAACATTTCTTCCTATATCGATTACAACCTGGTCCACGCTAGGAGATTTAGGGAGTACATACTCTCCCTCGAACAATTTTTTACTGCCCTCCGAAAATTCGGACTCAAGCTGAATCCCGATAAATGTTCCTTCCTTGCATCAGAGGCAAAATTCCTTGGACGCATAGTAAACAGCGAAGGATTCAAGGCTGATCCAGAATATGTTCGTGCCATCAGGGAAATGAAACCTCCAAGATCAAAAAAGGAATTACAAAGCCTTATCGGCCATTTAGTGTGGATCAGACAATTCCTAGAGACACATCTCCACGAACAAATCAGGTCAGATATGTTTTCAAAACTTATGGGTCCCATATACAAACTCAACAAGGTTAATAAATTGTTTGTCTGGATGCAAAATTCCGACAGAGCCTTCAAAAAAATCAAGGATCGTCTCTCTTCGCTACCCGTCATCTTGTTTCCAGATTTCTCCAAACTTTTCACACTCACCACCAAGGCCAGTGACGTCACATGTGGAGCAATCTCAATGCAAGAAGCCGACAATGGGAAGAAAGATATCATAGTGGTCGCTTCCCATACATTCAACTCCACGGAACAGAACTGGTCCACGACGGAACGAGAGGCATATGCAATAAAGTGGGCAATATTGAAATTTGATTATTTCCTTCGCAACCGCCCCTTCGTCATCTTCACCAACCACAGATCACTGACATATCTGAACCAACGAGAGTTCAATAATGCCAAAATACGACGATGGCAAGAAGAAATTTCATGTTATAAATTCATCTTGGAATATGTTGAAGGCGAATCAAATGTATGGGCTGACATGCTCAGCAGATGTTGCGGATATAAGAAAACGAAAGCCCCGAACGACCCTACACCGGCAGGCAGGACATTCGAGGTAAGTGGTTCAGACCTCCGCGTATACATCCCATCTTCGTGCCTCGGCGAGTTTAACAGTTTACAGCTCATTCCCAAAACTCACACATCACAAAACGCCCGCACCTACAAGTGCGTCAACAATGCATTCTTCGCCTATCATTCAACCACCACCATCCCCACTGAGAGAATCTGCAACCACCTCAGCATCGCAAATGAACAACAGAAGGACAACGCCCTGGCAAAGATCATCAGCACCCTCCAGCCACCCACTCCAAGCGAACCTCATATCGATCATGACGACCACTGAGTTACGCTTTTCAAAAAACATTTGCACCAATTTTTTCTAGAACCAGGCACCTCCGTTTTGATGATAAGAGACAGTAAACACTCTCCGAGATTGGTTGTACCATACAAACTACGATCCAGATACCTCTACCAGGCACACGAGGGCAACAACCACTCAGGTATTACCCGTATGCGAGAACTACTTTCCAGTTACTGGTGGGAATTCAAAAACCGCGACATCAAGGCCTATGTCGATTTTTCTGACACGTGTGCTAAGTGCAAGGGCAACTACAGTAGACGTACCCACTGGCCCATTGGCCACTGCAAACGAGGAAAGAGACCATTCAATCTTGTCTTTATAGACTTTGTCACAATGCTCAACTCAAAGAGAAAACGCTACATCCTAACCATCTTGGATAGCTTCAGCCGACATTTTACAGCCATACCATGCGCGAGAGACTGTGCTATCGACGCCGCCCGCAGATTGTACCATTTCTTCCTTTGACACAGAGAGATTCCACGCATAGTATCCTCTGATCGAGGCACACACTTCATTGGAGAAGTCTATCGACAATTCTGTAACCAGATGTCAATCACGCAAGAACTTCACTGTCCTTGGCGCCTGCAAAGCTTAGGAAATATCGAGAGACAACATCACACGATGAAGAACAATACCAAAACAAATGCCAACGAGAAGAACACGAGGACAACTTCCCACACGCTTCAGAGACTTTATCATGAGTTAATCACCCAAATATACACGAATAACGCTCACTGTAAATCAGACCGAGATCTGGGGGAGTCTTGTTATAAAATAAAATAAGACATATCTCGGCTGATTTACAGGCAAATACTCAAGAGCGAGAGCCGGATGTGAATGGGACAAAACCCTGTCACAAAATGACCATTATCTTCATTTACAAATGTTCCCGACACACGTGTTCTGGTTGAAAAATAAAATAATATTTAAAGTGTTCTATTTTTCGTCCAATAAAAATGCTTCCCTCCTAATTATACTCGCTTCGTTTTTCGAGCCTGTTAAGCCATAAAAAAACACTATAAAAGGGGTCACACGGAAGTTCAACAAGCAGTCCACAGGTGGCCAGGGTAAAGATCTGTCACGGTCAGCAGCTGACAGTAGGGGAGCATCAACCACCGTCAATATGTGTGAACTACTATGAGAGATCAATCCAGATCGGCAGCCGGCTTATGAACTTTACCACAAGGTAGATGTCCCAAACCCACACATTCCTGTTGAAATAAACCACGTAAATCTATTTCTGCTGTTGTCGTATTTCTTTCTTGCAACCATACGCTTGTCTATAACAAATATATTTTCCATATAAATATAACCTGAAAATTTAATCAACATCAGTTAATAAAAATGTTATTGTAAAAACACTGACTTGTATAATCGTATCCGACAGTGTATAGCTAATATCTTTTATTATCTGTCATCACATCATGATAACTACAACTATGGCTGCCAAATTTTGTAGTTACTAATGGGATTTCAGAACAGGCAGTCTTTTAACAGATTAGTATTTGAGAATTGAATGTTTTTAGCAAGGCTCTGGTTTACAATGCTTAACTAGATCCTTATCTCTCAGATAAGATTAATTGATTTATCTTTTTGTTCAACCATATAAAATAGGCATAAAACTGAACAGCCAGAAACAAAGGTTATAACCTTTTTAGCATTATTTTTTAACTGACATTTTTATAGTTACAGGAAAATCATGCTGAAGTAAGAGCATTTACTACCAAGGAGCCATTCACCTTTTGACAAAGCTTGTTAAAACTTGCAATAAAACCTTATTTCAGTGTTTTGTGTTCATTGATGCAATAAAAATTGGGATAAATGAATTTATGGTAAAAATGTTGGACCATGAAATATTCTTTTAAATCCCCCAACTCTACATATTAAAATTAAATGAATGAGTGGGAAAAGTTATTCATACTGATCTACATGACCAAAATCAGCATACTAGTTTTGGGAAGCTGATAATTTTCAGCACTCCTTTGTAATTATCAATTATTTCAATCTCAAAATCATATTTTAAAGTCATCACTATATAGAATATAATGATAACAAAATCATTTATAAAAATAATCCAAAATCATTCAAATATATATCTTTGTTATTTCATGTACTAATTTACCAAAGTTAAAAATGAAAAATAATCACCAATTATATATATATTTTTTTCAATAGGTATTAATTTTAAAGGGGCTATTTCCTGATTATTTATTCAGAAAATAACAATTTACTATACTACCAATAAAACAAAAATTTACATGATAGCATCCAAATGAGATTTCTTAGGTAACAATTCAGTAGATCAAAGAATCTACTGTTTTATTTAATGTACAGGAAATAGACTAAAATATTTAAAAATAAAGTAAATTTTCTAGTGCTTACTCATTTTATACTTACTAATTGAAGAGTAGTTAAATGTTTCTTCCACCACAAATACTTTTGAAATGCTGGCCCCATTGCTGCAATCCCATAATAAGCATACATAGCAAAGTGGATAAAAGCATTTATCATAGCATGGAATGTGCCAAATCCACCTGAAATATATATAAAGAAATTATTTTGATATAAAAATATTTATAAATTCTGAGAGAATAGGATTTAGTATAACATACCTCATTTAAAAAAAAATATCAGTGATAGGATCTTGGCAAGAGTTTATACTTTTATCTATAATACAAAAATATTGTTTAGTCTGTACATTATTTAAAAAGTTATTTTACTATATTAGGAGTGGATAACTTTACATGCCTTATAAAGATAAGAAGCTATTTTTTAAAGTTTCAAAATATTGTATAATCAAAGTTTTGGGTTTGAAGTTTAGTAGGTCTGTATTGATTTGGGGATTTCAACTTTGGATTATGAGGCAATCTGTGAGGCTAGATGGACTGTCTTTGACTTAGGACCATCTTAAAGTGTGATTGTAATAGCAGTAATTTACTATGAAGGCTTAATGATAGCCACATTTAAGTGGTACTTAATCTTTGTTTCAATAACTTTAACAAATGGTCTGAAGACTTGTTGTCGCAACATGGCCCATATTGCTAATTATCTTTCTGATGAGTAAAAATTCACTACATCATAGTTGAGACTGTTTCATTTGTGAATGTTCTTTTTCATGTTCCTTCCTGCTTTTTGTTGAGGTTCTTTATTTATGTAGATCCTTTTGGTTAAATGTTTTACATCATGGGAATCAAAAGGATGTTTTCAACTTATCACTCCTTTTCTATGAGTGAGTGATGGAAAGTTCTTGGATCATGTTTGGTCATTTTGTCAGATTTTGGATGGTTATTTGAGCTGAGGACTTTTCAATACACCCTTCACATTATAGTTTTTTTAGCTAATCTTTTTATTTAACTGATCAGCCACTATTATTCTCTACTCATTGTTATCATCTTAGGTTAAATTAATCTGCGATAATAATCTGCTATATATATATATATATATATATATATAATCTGCTCACTATATCAAACAAAGCCCAAACTTTTCAGAAAACACTTCTTGTATCATGTTAAAATAAGTTCCTTGATCTATCTTGAAGAAGAAATCATGCCTGAAAATATTTTAAATGTGTTCAAGTTTTAAAAAAATCAATACTTTTCAAAAAAACTATTTTTGAATACTTTTATTGATTAATATTTATAGCAGCCTATACATTTTTAGTTGAAAATTCTTTACACATTTTCAAGCTTTAAAAAATAGTAAAAGTTTGCAAAAATAATACCTGGTACATATTTAACACCAAACCACCACATAAATGGTAAAGCACCATGGTGAAATACATGTAGGAATGATACATTGCTAAACTTCTTTCGTAAGATGAAAAATGCCTGCAAAAAAAAAAAAAAAAAAAAAAAAATCAATCAAAAGGCCATAATTTTTGTTTTTCACAAGTCATTTCAATAGTAAAAATAAACCACTTAAAATTAAATTTTTTAATATTAAGTAATTAGTTTAATCATTGCTGTTAATTAAAAATTAACATATGATCAATAACCACTATCAATGTTTTCATTTGAGTCTTAATCAACAATACTGAACAAAGATATTTGGGAATTTAATTCAACGCCCTAAATCATTTTTGCAACTGTCTTTAAAGATATTTTTAATTGGCAAAGTAAATTTTCAATTTTCACCTTTTACTTGAAGGATAAATAAATATTTCACTAAATATTGCCCCTATAATGTTTATTGTTTAAGCATAGGGTAATAAATTGTTTGTTTCTGTTTTATAATTCTGAATGCTGCTGTCAAAGTAAATGGGCATGTTTTTTTTTATCATGCTTTGAAAATGAAGAAATTTACAGAAAATAAGGAAAGTAACAATTATTTAATTATTGTTAATATTTATTACTGAGTTATATATTTTATTATTTGGATAATATGGTTGTATTTTATAATGCATTATCTATTTATTATGCTCATCATGTATTATATTAATTTGGCATGAATTGCATATGTAACAAATATTTTTACTATGAAATTTTCATACTTCATATGTGCTAATTTGTTTATATATTTAACACAAGTGAATGATACTTATTTACTCCTAATTTAACATTTTAAAACTTTATTTTATATATGCTAAAGAAAAGGAAGATATAATTTTCACTTTTGGAGTATTGGCATTCCTAGTTCTAACATCTGTTTTTCATGTCTATTTTCCTAAAGTTTATTATAACTGCTTATATTTTTTTAAAATTGACTTTATCTGTCGAATTTATATATCACTAATAGTAAGTCTGATCGGTTTGATAAGGTCAATTGGTAGCTGATCTCAAAAATGACCTACAATCTGTTGTTAACTGGGGCAAGGAATGGCATGTTAATTTGAATGCATCTAAACTGAAACTGCTCTCTATTAATCATCTGAGAGACCTCTTTTTTTCTTTCAATCAGCCTGGCTGATGCTAACCTCCAGGAGAGTAACTTGTTTCACATTCTTGGGCTAACATTCTCTGCTGACATCAAGTGGAAAGATTATATTGAATCAATTGTTAGCTGTCTAAGAAAGTTGGTTCAGTGTTTTGTGCTGCTAGGAAAGTTGGCTCACTGTGTCATTCTAGATAATTTCTCTCTCCAGAATCTGTCTAGTGCTCCAGTTATGTATTTAGAAATTCTTGATAAAATCCAAAGAATCTGCAATGTTACTGGTCATGAGCTGGCATCTCGACTCCAGCCATGTTCCCATTGCCACTTCCCTGCACCTTTTCATGATTATTGTTCTGATGAACTTCCCTCTACAATACCTAGACTTTATGAATTTAAACACAGTACTAGATTGGCAACAAGGAATCATCATTTTACAGTTGAATTGCCTAGATGAAGAAGTTCTATACTAACAGTTTCTTTTCTCATACTTCTCACTCTCTTCCAGCTTATCACTTTCCAGCCAACTTTAATCTTCAAAAATTGAAAATGCCATATCTATCATTATCTACTGTCTTCTTGATTACTCTTCTTTTATTGTTCTTACACCTTAATAATGTTTTCTTTTTCTTATTCAATTCAATAACACCTTGTGTTTTAGTGGCTTTATTGCCTTGCTTGGAGTGAAATAATTAAAAATTCACTAAACAATTAAAATAATAACAATAATAATAAATAGCGTAGGGATATAGAAATACTATTATTATACTGAATTATTATAATATCAGAACATTATATTAATATATTATATTTGCTAATTTGTTTATAGACTAAATTTATAAATTGGCATGAATTACTTGCTTTGTTAACTTAAACGTCAATGTAACATTATTTTTAATCATTTCACCCCAGTCAAGGGAATAAAGCCACTAAGACACAAAGGGTTACAGACTGTTAGATAATATAAGAAAAAAAAGCACTATTAAAGAGAGAGAACAATTAAAGAATGGTTACATCTAGCCATTTCAACTGATGAGACCCCGCTGCTAATCTAGTAATGCACTTAAATTCATAAAGTCTAGGTACCATAGAAGAAAGTTCATCAGAACAATTACCATGAAAGTATTTATAAAAAATCCATAGGGAAGTTATGTTACAGCATTAGGAAAGTGACTGAAACTTAGATGCCAGGTCAAGATCAATAACGTTGCAGATGCTTTGGATTTTATCAAGAATCTCTAAATATATACCAGGAGCAACCGACCAGATGTGGCAGTAATATTCAAAGCAAGGAGAAATGGTAGACTTATAAATAGGTAAGATAGATTCTGATGAGAAAAATTATCTAGCTTGACACAGTAAACCAACTTTCCAAGCTGCAGACATAGCAATTGATTCGATATAGATTTTTCCACTTCTTATCAGCAGAAAATGTTATCCTGAGAAGTCACTCTGAGTCACTCTCATGGAGGTTAGCATCAGTCATGCTGATGGAAGGTAAACAAAGGTTTTTGTCAGATGTTTCATTTTGAAGGCACTAAAATTAACAAGCCACTCCTTGCCCCATTTAACAAAAGATTGTAGGTTATTTTTAAGATCAACTGTCAATTTGAAATTATTGAAACAATTAGATTTACTATTAAGATAGGAATAAATAATTTTGTCATCAGTATAGATACCAAGCCAAGAACTGATAACATCAGGAAGGTCATTTAAGTAAATTAGGAATAACAAGTCCAGCAATAATCGTTAATACATCAGCAGTTGACCTAGAGAAGCAAAAACCATATTGCTTATCTGAAAGAAGGCCCTGTGAAGTGAGACGCTTAACCAATTCAGAATTATTTAGAGCGTTTAGTACTTTGCCCAAAAGAGGTAGAAAGATAATCAGCAGATAAAAGGATCACATAGTTCACTTGAGTTCTTAAACACTGGAACTACAGAAGATTGATTGATTGGTTGGTTGGTTATTTTACTGGCATATCAACTACTATGAGTCACTAATGCTGAAACATTTGGTTGATTTTATTCAGTGGTACAACATCTATATGGGCTACCCAATACTGAAATCCAAACATTTTGTATACAATTTTATGGCTACAACTACAGATATTTTGTGCACAATTTTATACTTTCAGGGTAAACATGTTTTTTTAGATATAATTTATAGATAATAAAATGTATTGTGCTTTCTTCTACAAATGCTGGAAGCAGCCTACTTCTTTCAAGCAGTCTATTATTTGAGAAACAGGTACATTTTTGAAAAGCATGGTAAGGTTTTGTAGATCATAGAATTTGTTGCACATTTTCTTGTATTCTTTGCTTAACTGTGAGCAATTGGTCACAAGAGGTGTACTGAGATGTATGTTCAATTTGGACTCTGCTTAGCATTATGTCCTGTCTTCGATCTATTTTCTAGTTCAACTGTTGACTGATGTTACAGTTTGCTATTTGGAAACATATCCCAAATTGTTTGCCATTTTCTTTTAATGTATTGTGTGATCATATTTATTTTTGTAATCTATATATGGAAGTCTAATGTTTGTTATTATCATTTTAGTTGTCTCCTTTGCCAGGGCATAGCTTTTTGATTTCCTTTAATGCCTACATGACCAGGATGCCAGGCCAAGTGGTTTTTTATCAAATAGTGACATGTTTCTAATATTTCATGTATGTAAGAGTGGTTTGTTTTTTTCATTGTTTTTCCTTAATGGCTGGATAGGGAGTCTGAAAATATTATGAATTTTCTGTTTGAGTTTTTGATCATTTCAAGTGCCATTTTATGGCTTGTATATATGGATGCATGGTTTGGCAGTCTAATTTGTTTGTGGACTTGTCTGTTGGTGACTGTCCAGGATTTTTTTATACATCTCTATAGAATGTTTTGTAGTCATATTTATCTTAGTTCTCCATAATTGTTTTGACTTCTGTAGTGTGTTTGTTATGTCGGAATGTATTTTTTTAAAATTTTATTTTGTTTCAGACCTGTTAAACCTTGTAAATTTCAATTGTCTGCATGTGAGTATATATATATATATATATATATATATATATATATATATATATATATATATAAGCATACATGTATATGGGTATATATACATATGTATCGTGTGTTGTCTAGTTTTACTTTGGGTTTTTGGTAACTAGTGTGACTCTAATGTAAAAGAAAAAGAAAAAAAAAATTTTTTTTTGAATCACGAAGTCACCATTTTTAAGGTTTTAAAAAAGTGTTGGGTTGGTGATCCTGGTACCTCATTAAACTCCACCGACCTACCAAGTGACTTCATCTTTGTTTGGACCTCACCTTCCACCTCACTAACCAACCCAACCCATTGCATTTGGTTTCTGAAATCAAGACTTATTTAGAGTCTGCCACACTTTTCAATAAATGACCAGCAAGATTAATATGAAATTCCAATTGTAAGTAATAAGAAATCCTTTTTCCATGATGTTGTTTGGAAGTATTTTTTTTATTTTGTTTCAGACCTGTTAGCTTAATGTATTAGTTTCAATAGCATATTGCTTTAACAGTGGGTAATCAGCCTATACTAAGTTAAAACTTAATTATTTTATTCTATTCTCCCACCTTACCAATCTTTTGCCTCCTTACTAACTCTGGCCCACAAACCTTTTACTCATAAACAGATTATTGAGGGGGGGGGGGTCTTTATATATATATATATATATATGTATGTATGTCTGTATGTATTTGGTAAGTATTCCACAGTTGGAATGTTGGCAACTAAGCCGGCTACCCCACTCCATGTTCTTGTGAGTGAGGTGGCTTGTTAGCAAGCCAGTAGGACAAAAAATAAAACCTAACAAAGAGTGGAGGATCTCTCAATGAGTCAATGGGCAGCTAACTAGAGTGTCTCCATAAACCACTGTGGAGAAGGCTTAGTGGGAACCACTCCATATTAATCCCAAGAAATATCATGGCAAATAACATACATTATGA